CCCCAAAACCCCAAAACCCCAAAACCCCAAAACCCCAAAGTGGGAGGATTGGGGAGTTTAAAAGGGATCAAGGTGTTTTTGGGGGTTGGGAATTGGAGGTAAGTGGAGGTAAAGGGGAAGTAAAGAAAGGAATGGGCCTAGGACATTTTTGATGTGTTTTGAGCAAATTTTGGGAGAATTTGGATTAGGAGGTGGTGTCGGGACACCTGGTGTGAAAATAGGAATGTCTGATCAAAGAGGTGTTTTGTTATTCCTGATAATTTTAAGATATAAGGATGTTTATATAACTTAGAAGCAATAGTACATTAAAAAGCATTGTACTTGCACCTACTCAAGTTTTATCAACACTCTCATCCATTTAAAAATCAGAAAATTTGAATACTCAAATTATTTGTAAATAAATACTATCAATACAGTAAACTGTACTAATCCATAAGCTTATATACTGCATTCCCAAACACTGTCTATCTAAAAGCACCACTTCTAACTGCCGTTCACCTCATTAACTTTGGCATCCCCTCTTCTGAGGCTGATAAGGCTAAGGTTAAGTTTTAATAATTTTTATGGAAATTATCTTATTCTGAAAGACTATAGAGTACTTTTCTATATCTCTCAAAGTTTACTTCTTGATTTTTGAGAGTTTCCAAAAATTCTTCTTCAAAGTCCATCCGGATTTTTTGGCAGATTTTCTTGAATCATGGGTCTTTAGAGATTTTATTAAATGTGCTAGTGCTAAAACTTTTGCAACACTTCATAGCCAGACTAGCCTTGTTGGATACATCATTGGACTCATCCTCCTTTACTACGGGTTTTAGATCTAGCAAGGCTTGCACAAAAATATTGAGTTTATATTTTTCTACAATCTCTGCTGAAAATAGTTCGATTCACATCTCTTTCACCGATTTTGTTAGTTGGGCCTGAGGTACATTTACTATTCTCCATAGGAATAGAGAAGGGTATCTAGCCTTGAAAAAATTCAAGTAAAATCTCCGGATTGCTCTTAAGACTGCCTTAAGAACTATATCTTTCCTTGCTGAGTACTTCATCCTCTTAGAATTTAAGATCAAACAATTTCCAGTTTGTCTCACCTTCAAAGAGGGCTCAGATAAAGCTGGTAGTGTTTTTCTTTCCATATCCTTTCTCAACGAGTAAATTCCTTGATTAGAAGCAGCATCAACATGAGATCACTGAGATTTATCTGAATTTTCTGGATCAAACATCTTCTTGCTCAATTTGACACCAAATCCATAGCCTACAGTGCCATATTTTTCGCTAAACTGAAGGAGTTCCTTCTAAAGATGAGATTCTGGCTGCTTACATAATCAGTACTGAAGTCCCATTGAGGAAAAAGCTGGTCATATTCAAAGGTAAAATCTGTAAAATTAAGCATGTTCTAGAAATTATTATTGAAAAACTTCAGCCTTGAGCTTATATATCGGGGTTTTGGGGTTTTGGGGTTTTGGGGTTTTGGGGTTTTGGGG